TTATTAAACCTACTATACATAATGGATTTAGGAATCTATTGCATTTATGAAAAGTTGTTTCTGAAACAAATTCTCATAAATGAAGATTAAAATTATTATTAATTTAAAAAAAAAAAGTATAATTCATTCTTAAGTTAAATCTCTTTATTAAATGAAAAGATATCATTTAGTTTAATTTTTTTTTATCAAACATGCTAGAATATCATCTATTTGCAAAATCAAAAACAAAATATCAATAACAAAAATTATCAAACTCAATCCAGCTAAACATTTTTTTTTTATTATATCCCTAAATAAGACTATTACTTTAATTCATAAAACACACAGCACCAGAATAAATCATAATTATTCATTGAAGACTTATCAGAGCATTCAATTTTCATCCTTTTTGACATCATTGTCTTCAAAGCTAACTTAACAATATCATCATTCAGCAGATTTATCTGTCACCAGTATGAGCCAGCAAAACTTTCAGTGAAAACTTTATCATCATCATCCCCAAAAAACACAGTTGCTCATTTAAGCAGAAAAGAGACTGCTAAGATTTTCTTTGACCACAACAGTCCAGTGATCATTAAATTTTGAAGGAGAGGCAAAAGCATCGATGCTGTCTAATATCATAAAATCTTGCAACATCTATACATGGCAATAAAGAACAAATATCCAGTTTATTGAAAAAAGATATAATCTTACTGCATGACAATGTGAAACCCCATGCAAGCAGAATGACTAGACACATTTGAAAAACTGAAGTGGAAAACAACACATTATACATCACAGCCTCAATATTGCTCCCATAAAATTTACTCATTTTTGGTGACATAAAAAAACAGCTAAAAGGTCACAGGTTTGCATCAGAAGATGAAGTGAAAGAGGTAATCACAGGTTTCTTCCATTAAAAGACAAAAAAATCCTACAAGCATGAAATCATCAGGCTCATAAGGAAGCAGGATAAATCCTCAATGCTGGTGGCAATTACTTTTAATCTAAACACACCAGTTGATGAATAAATTGTATTACCTCAATTTCATTTGATTCATTCTAATACACAGAGTTCAGCTTTAGATGTCTAACTTTGAATAAAAAAATAAACTATATGAAATTTTTAAAATGTGTTCTAATAATTCATGCTTTGAAACCATATCAACTAAAAATGCATTGACTATAAAAAGTAAATTATTATATGTTAAATATATTAATGAAAATTTAATATAAAATTGAAAGTAAAAACTTTAAATAAGGCTAGATGATCTGCTAAATTATCAAGCTTTAATAAGGCTAAGTTAATAGAAATTAAGTAATTTGTTTAGATTAGGCAGTTAGGCCACCATATCATGATAATTTTAATAAATTAATTTTTCATTTAGAATTTCTGGAAGAAAAAATGAGCTGATTAATTTGAACCTGCAACTTACCATGTAGATATGTTGCCAGTTACACTACATTGACCTCTGTCCAATCTCCAGTTCCAGAATTTTAGACAAATTACAGTGGGTGATCGGTTAACGAACGTAATCCATTTCAAGACTTTGTTCGTTATCCAATTATCTATTTACCATAGGTTTTTATGGGAATTTGATTAATTCATTCTGGACACTCCAAAAAATACAAAAATATATACTTTCTTACTACATTTATTTACATGTAATAGTAAAAATACATATATACACAGTCTTGCATTTTTATTAGTCATGTTTTTTCCGTTTGTGGGAGTTAAAGAATCTTTCTAATGTCGATTGCTTTTCTCTTTTCTTCGAGATTTTTCAGAAGTAATTAATAGTATTGTAACTGTAGAGATCCCCAACTCCATTAACCTTATTCTGGTTTGGATGCTACTCGAATGATCGTTGTTCTGACATCCTCCCACTTCTTCAAAAGATCTTAAGTAGCAGATGTCGACATTGGCTTTCGTCTTCCTCTTTTTCAAAAGAAAACACATCTCGCTGAGTTTCTTGGTATTCTTGATTTGAGAGTTCTTGGAGTTCTTCTGTCATCAGATCAGTTTCAGGTTCCATTATGAGCTCTAAAATGCTGTTTATTTCTCAGATATGATTTTCATTATTCCATTAGCAGCAGCTTGAGATTTCTTGATATATCTTTCATAGCTAAGATTGTGCTTACCTGTTCAAGCCATACTGTCTAGCAACATCAGACATCTTGTGCCCACTTTCTACCTTGGTTATTATCTCTTACTTGGTTTCTACAGTGAGCACAGTTCTTGACACTCCTCTTTTTAGGCTCCATAATATTATCAGTTTCTTTTTTAAATAAAAAGCACTTAAATGGGACAGTTAAACTTTCACCTTTCATAAATAAACCCCCAACACAAAACTTAACAATTGCCCATCCAACAGTCTTGTGAAGACTGTAAAAAACTATTTGTCAGAAAGGTAAACAAAAAGCTGGAATTATAAGGGAGAGTTTCAAAATTTGGAGGAATATTATTCAGTAAAGAGTTCGTTATCCGATCATAAAAATCTTTTGCGAAAGTGTTCGTTATCCAATTTGTTCACTATCCGAACTGTTCGTTAACTGATCACCCACTGTACTTCAATTCTAATTATTAACTTAGCCTTATTATAGCCAGATAATTTGGCAGAACATCTAGCTTTATTTAAAACTAATCAGAATTGTGGAATTGTTGTTTACATATATATATTCCATGCTGGGTAAAAACAATAGTTGTCTGAGTGCCATAGAGGTGGGCTGTGAGTGTTTAAATCATCCCCAGTTAGCACCTTAAGTAACCTCATAGTTATATCCAAATGAATAGTTCTAGAAGTAAAGATTGGATGGAGGTACAGGTAATGTAACTGGCAACACATTGGCACAATAAGTAGAAATTATGGGTTTGAGTTCCACTCAGGGCAGATTCATTTCTTTCAGAAATTTGAAATTAAAAATTAATTTATTACAATTATTAAAATTAACATAAAATGACAGCCTAACCTCTTACCTCTAGATAAATTATTTTGTTGAAGGGAGGCCAGTATTTAAATGAAACTTAATTTTCTAATTATGAGTGGTTATTTGTTTTGTGAGCAATAAAATAATTTAAAAATAATTTTTAACGATACAATAGCAATAGCATAACGATACAATCTAATTATTAACTTAGCCTTGTTATAGCAAATCATCTGGTCTTATTTAAAAGTAATCAGATTTGTAGTTGTTATTGTCAAAGTTTTTACATATACAAGTAGAGCATCGATTATCCGACTCAATTGGGGACTCGGATTGGTCAGATAACTGAAAAAAATTGGATAACCGAAAAGAATGAAAAAAATACATTATTAGTATAGTATATTAGTATATCCATGTAATTAGTATATTAGTATATCGCTATTAACCTACTTTGCGTTGAATTTTCATTGATGTTAAGCCTAACAAATTTTTTTAAAAATAATAATCGTCGCTATTGTATCATTAAAAATTATTTTTAAATTATTTTATTGCTCACAAAACAAATAACCACTCATAATTAGAAAGTTAAGGTTCATTTAAATACTGGCCTCCCTTCAATGATCGAGCCAGTGTTGCCAGCTAAAACACGCAAAAAGTTAAAAAAAAATAATATTAAAGTAACCAAGACATAGCCAAATATTGTAATGCCACATCACTAGCGGACATTTGAAATTTGTCGACTAGAACAGTCGGTTAACCAATGTGGCGGTTAATCAGGGTCGAATAATCGATGCTCTACTGTATAGTAGAGCGTTGATTATCCGAATACTGATCAACCAAAACATCGGTTAACCAAAAGCGTTCCAGTCTGAAAATTCAAATTTCTGCTAGTGCTGTGGCACTGTAATATTTGGCTATGTCTTGGGCTATTCCAATATTATTTTTGTTGGTGTGCATGTTTTAGCTGGCAGCACTGGCTCAATCATGAGAGGGTACTTATGGACACGCCAGTATTTAAATGAGGCTTTTTTCCCTTTGTGAGTGATAAGTTTTACATGTTTTGTGTGGTGTTTTTCTGAGAACTGTATGTTGGGAAGTGTGTTGTGCTGAATCAGAACGTTTATGAATCTAAATTAACTTCTGAAATATAATTTTTTTTGTTTTCATATTTTTCGATATATTTATTTTTTTTTTGTGCAAAATAAAGAAATAATTTTTAATGATACAACAGCCACAGTTATTTTTTTTAAATTTTCATTAGGCTTAACATCGAGAAAAGTTCAACGCAAAGCAACACACAACGGAGAAAAATTTCAACATGGGATAGGTTAACATATTTTTTCGTACATGATCAGTTATCTGAAAAATCAGTTATTTGAACAACCCCAGTCCCGAATTGTTTTAGATAATCAATGCTCTACTGTATAAATATGTAAAAACTTTATTTCTCATTAACATTGTATTCCATTAACTGACTTTTAAAATTTAATTTAATTTAAATTTTTAGAACAGTTCATTCTTTTATTTAAAATTAGTTTTTAAATTCCATATGATTCAAAAACATTTAAGTTCTTAATAAGTGTTTGGACTTCAAAACATTGCTGAAATTGTATTATTATTGTTTTTTAAAAGTTAAAGTTTGTAAAAAAATACATACATATAAATTAATTACAAAGTTTACATGGAAACGTTGGTTTACACTAGAATACATACAAAAAAATTGTTAGGAAGATGTAGTGTTTTGAAGTTAAACAAAATCTACATTTTCAATGAACAATCATTACAGTGATTCTTCATGAAAATTCAATTATTTCTGCATTAACAATGAAATAATGCAACATACTAAAATTATCAACATAATTAGTCTATTTTTGATTAAGTTAGTATTTTTAGTCTGTTGCATTATTTTTGATTGATTTATTGTCAAGATATTAACTGCCTGTAAAGTGCAAACTAGTTTGATTTAATAACAAGCTCATATCTTTAACTATATAGGAAATAAATTTATTATTAACTGTTTTAAAAAATTTAATTTATATTTCTTATTAATAATTACTAAGATTTATTTTAATTTAATTAGAGAAAATTTGATTTACCTTGATTATAAAAGAACTTTCTGTAGCAATATGAACCATTATCAACATTTTCAATATTTAAAGAAGGTTTCTGATAGGGACAAGATTGCTGTTTCCACTTTAAATAATTACCATTTTCTAGAATACTCAAACCACATGCCATAACATGCTTATGAAGTGTAGGAAGCCATTTAACTAATTCTTCTTTCTTTCTTTGATTTCTTGATGTCATACGATTTAAACTGATTATCCTTTCATCTTCTCCACCTAATTCATTTCTGAAGAAAGGACAACTTAAAACTAATTTGTTACTTCTACCATCACCAAGATCATTCTCTTCTAGGTGATCCTCACTAAGACAATAAGGAGACTTAGTTAACATTGAAGCTGCAGATGCTCCAGTTGTAGTATTACGTCTCTTACTCAATAAGTTCCTCAATCGAGAAGCATAACTAATATTAGCTGTTATGCTTTGACAATCATAATGTGCAAAGGCTTTCTTTCTTAATTTTTCTTCTAATCGACTTTCAGAATCAAGATTATTATCCGATCCCTTGTATATATCAATGCTATCAGTTTTATTTCCACGCAACTTTTTAAAAATAGATGGTTCACTATTAACAACTTTTGTTTTTACTTTGCTACGATCTTTACTTTCCCACAATCTCTGAAGTTTCGTTTTTAATTTTGGACTCTGAGATTCTTCTAAATTAACTGGATTGTTTGATTTGAAATTTCCATTTGAAGTTGAAGAATGCTGTGAAGTTATTGGTAAAGAATCAGCTTTATGTTTATGATATTCATGTATTTTGAACACATTACGATTTTTATGATCAATATTTTCATTTCTGTATTCCCTGAGCATAGCAAAAAAATTTTCACCAGCAGTGCTAATAACATCCAATGATGATGCACTTCCATAATTTCTTCTAAGTAAATGATTTCCATCTTCTTCAAGTTCTTCACTATGATCTAAATCTAAGCTACTGTTGCTTCTATACAAACCTAATTTACTGGATGAAGTGGTAGCACAATTTGCTAAAACCGTATGAGTCATAGCACGTTCAGTATATGCACGATTAGCTCTTTCACTATGTGTTCTTTGTGGACGGTCTAATCTTCCATGGGAAGTAATCAATCTTTGACTGCTTATATTATGCTGTAAAACTTTATCCTTGTGCTTATCCTGAATTTTTATCAACTTAGTTGTTACATTATTTCCATTAACTATACCATTAATATGGGTCGTACTTCCACTTTTAAGTACCGATCCACAACACTGGCGGGAAGTTTGCGGTTGACAGCTATTGTAATATTCCAAAGCCCGTGCTCGTAATACATCAGAAGTCAACCCATTTCCCGGTGATAATTCCGAAATATTTTCATTTAATCTTTGGCAATCAGCAACTTCCATCTTCACAATTTAATAAAACTACCTCTGGCAAACAGTATGATTACCCATTAAAATATACCACAATTGTTGCCCCAAATAAATCCAAAAAATCATGACTTTTGCTTTTATTACGTGAATAACATCCAACAATAACGCATATCTGAAAATAAAAAATTACAATTACTTAAAAGTATCTACAATATATAATTATTCACATACATTGTAATTTTTAAATAAACAAGCATACATACTAAGTTTATATATATGAGGTTTTAATTCATATAAAATGTTAATTAAGGTTGGAATGTATTAAAATGTTTAAATAATGCAATTTTTTGAAGTAATAATTAAAGATCTCATTTCACAATTATTAAAATTTATCACTTATATTCTATCTAAATTGCTTGTTCAGTTATTTTTAGTTTATATATAAACAATGCTTCAAAGTAGGCCTACATGTCAAAGACAAATTCTGTCATAGTAGGTAATGATATGCATTGATCTTCAAGACTATAATACTGAAATATCAAAAGATACTATCGTTAACGTTAAAATCTATTCAGTTAAAAATCAGGCTTTATCTTTTCGTGACGACAAACACATGGAAACGTTGGTTTACACGAGAAAACAGTGTAATAAACTAACATAAACAGTTGAAAGAATGTGTTTTTCTTTACATTTCTGTGCCACTCGAATCAAACTAAACTACTACACTTCTTTATTTAGTTAATTAACAGAAAAATTCGATAAAGTCAGTAATTATAAATATCGTAATATTTCTTTTACGGATATGAAGTTGACAAAAAGGAAGTACATTCCAATACACAAACGCCATATTGACGACCAATAGTTTATCTGAATATTTATATCTAACTGAGAGATAAAATACGAAAAAAAAATCCGACTTTTTACTTGCTACTGCTCGGATTTGTTTTTAATAAAGTTAAGAAACCAGGATACTTCACCGTTATCATTTCCCCTCGTCGATACTACTTAGAACGCTTCCTGTCACGTGACCAAAACCAACAATGGCATCCGGACCAAAGGAATTCTGGGATAGAGTGCTCGTCAACCACACCTGTTACGCGCTACATATATATATATATATACACACACACTATGATTAGAGCAACGACCGAATCCTATTATAAACTCGCATAATCATCGTTTCAAAAAATCTCCGTTAGTAATATTGAACATGAAAGGAAAGGCAATTTGAATTGCATTATTATAAAATGCAATTCTTTATAATAAAATAATTTAAGCTTTCGCACAGACACAAATACCATATTTATGTATTTTAAAACAATATACAAAACCTGCTTATATAACGATTACACGAAATAAAAAACGAATTTTTTATTTTAAAAAAAATAAGTACTTTGAATGTTTTTTTAAATTTACGCCCATCAATTTTTTACAGTACGTAATTATTCGCAACGCTTGTAACAGTCGTGGTTTATTATTTAAATTTCACTAATTCTTTCTAACGTCAGAAATTTATACTATGATTAATGATTAATTTGTCGTTAATTTCGACGATATGCGGTATATATTTATAAAATAACTGCAGAAATGATTTTTAAATGTCCCCTCCTAAACTAAAAACACACTCGTGTTTTTCGTATAAAACATATACTGTAGTTTATAAATTGGCCAATTAAACTTTGCGTATCTTAAATATTTGCCAGTTAGTTCCTAAAAAGGTCAGAGGTGTCATCAAAAAGTGCCTGCGTATAAATTTCAAAGTACGGTACCTAAACAGTATTTTTAAAAAAATTGATCAGAATATGAGCACACTTTAACACGTATTATTTTAATTTAGTTATTTTGGGATTTTAGTTTTGAATATGTATCAATTTGTTACTAATTTCTGTAACATATTTTCATGCTTTGCGAGTATCAATCTGCTGAACTTCAGACCTGTCGCAATTCCGCGTGACGTCATCACATTATATCCACTTTTCTGTAAAATTGTTATTAATCCATTATTTTTTCGCATGTTTACAGTAATTAATTTTTTTATTACAAATATTACTATTATACTGATAGAATAATCGGCTATTAACTTTTATAGACTGTTTCTTCGATTTGCTCTTTATTATACAAGTATTCTTTCTACACAAATACATTTAATTTAATGACTTATTTTAGTAACTTGACATGCTTATTCATTGTGAATAGTTTACTATATTCAGTGATTCGATTTATAAATAAATCGTCTAATTTAACCCGGAAGAAATTAAACCTCGGTTGCCGAACGAGGGATATTGGTGATTAAAAGACGAAAAATTGATGACATCATCAAAAGATATACAAAAAGCTTTGTTTCTAAATGAAAATCAAAACATTTTGAATATTTCATAACAATTCAATACACGATACTTTTTTATTATAATAAATTATATTACTGTAGTTTCCCGAAAATCATCCATATCACTGATCGAAATTTAATAATAAAAAATTTTTTGTAAAATTTGCATGATAGAGTTTCTAAGTTTAACAAGAACGTGAAAAAAAAGATAAATTCAAATAAGTACTAAGTTATAAACGTTAAATATTTACGTTCACTAGATTTCTACATTCACTTTTTATAGACGTCCCGTATATACGGTATTGCCCACTTTTTTAAAGAAATGTCCCGGTGTTTCGGCAAATTTTGTCGGGACGTCCACTTGTCCCGTATTTAGCAAAAATATGACGAATCAAAAATTTCAAAATCATTTCATACGAAACAAGAAATTAATAACACTTTAACCAAATTGGATACCCCTAAATCCTCATCTAAATCATTGGAGTAGAACAGGCGTTTAAATTCAAATATTCACTCAATTTCGTAAACTGCCAATAGCTATCACTTGTTTGTTGCTTTTACTTGATCAACGGAATCTGAGTGGAGTTCAGGTTTCAGGTGCTCTAAAGTTTTCTTTTACTTTGTCATGCTTAAAAGAAAGTGTTCTTATAGCAATTACTATTCTAAATAGTGACATTTTATTGCAAGAAGTGATAAAGAACATGAAGCCTCATGTTAATTGTACTTTTGTCTGTACATTCAGCACATTCTGTGGAGATAATGGCAATCCGAATTTTGGCAGTCAAGTGTGCAACAGAACCAACAATGTTTACTTTAAATTGAAAGGCTCTTTAGATGATGTCATGCAAGAAATCAGCAGGCCCATCAACGGAGGGGAAGGTGATTGGCTGCCCTGCTCATTTCTTGCATCATAATACTATGAATACCACTGCAGATACTTTGTCAACAGATGTTGAAGTTATAGCAATGAAAATATTTTATCATTTTTCAATATATACTGTATGGAATGAACTATTGAAGGAGTTTTGTGAATTTGTGGGATTCACTATTAAACAGTTTTCTCTCATTCCAAGACACATTGGCTTTCATTGGCTCCTGCCCTTAAAGTTGTTTGATGCTTTGAAATCCTACTTCCTCTTGCAAGAAAATGCTCCTATAATTTTAGTTAATTTTTTTCCTTTTCCCTAAGTGAAACCTATTTATATTTTCTACACAACTTTGTTCATATATTGAGTGTAAAAATAATGAAAATTGAAGGGAAAGACAAAAGCACTATTGAAGTTTTGTCCACATGCAAAGAGAGAGACGATTTTCAATGAATTCTATGAAGTGAAATTTCTCCCTATCAACATTTTAAAGCCAGAAAATGTTTTTCCTGAAAGTTGTATAAAGTTGGTCATGATTATCTGGAATGTTCCTTTTCAGATATGTTCCTTTGTAGATGAATATGTAAGAAAATGATTTGTGCAATGTTGTTACTAAAGAATTTCTCTTAGTGGAATGATGTTACAGACAAAAGCTGAAGATTTTACAAAAGGAATTGGTCATAGTAAATTTAAAGCCAGCAACAGGTGGCTTTACAGCTTCAAAAGTACACATAACATTGTCTTCAGGAAACTTTGCAGCAAAAGTGCATCTACACCTCAAAGTGTCTGTGAAGAATGGATCAAGGAGCTCCATTCTTTCATGCAAGGCTATGAGCCAGTAGGTGTCTTCAATGCAGATGAAACAGGCCTTTTTTTCTCAATGTTTACCCAACAGAACAGTGGTATTTAGAGGATAAAAATGCTGAAGTGGAAAACAGAGTAAAGTACAGTACATGTAACTGTACTATTAGCAATTAATCAACACTAGAAGTGAAAAACTTCCACCATTGATGATTGGTCAATCTGCAAAGTCCAGATGTTTCTCAAAAGGGAAATCATTTCCTCTACTACAGAGCAAACCAGAAAGCTTAGATGACAAGTGAAATCTTCAGTGACTGGTTAAAAGGAATCAATAAATCTACAGGTTTAAAAAAAAAACTTTTTTATTGATAACTGCAATGCTCATACCTCCCTACTCTAAAAAACATCACTATAAGATTGTTGCCTCCAAATACTACATTCAAGCTGCAACTTCTCAGTCAAGGGATCATTCAAAGTTTCAAATTGGGATATTGAAGAACTGGTTCAAAAACTTCTAGATGACATCAACAACAGCAATATCCTTCCCACTATCAATGTTTTGAATACTATGAGGATGATAGTCTATGTCTTCTCTATAACATTCCTCCAAATCAATCAAGAACAGTTTCCTAAAAGCAGGATTTAAGCAAAGGTGCAACAAGGAAGAGGAACAACAACAAAATACCATTGACACAGTGCAATAAACAGAAACCAATGAAGTAAATTCAGAAGAATGGATAATTATCAAGAATAAACTTAATCTAGACATTTCATTTGAAGACTTTTTGAATGTGGACAAAATTCCCTGGTAACATGCGGAATGTTGACAAACACAGAGATCATGGAAAATGTGAGAGGAGTTTCTGATAATGACAAAACAGAGAACTAGATAGATTCACCTATAGCTATACCACAAAAGAAGCAGAAAAGGCCATTGAAATGTTGAGAACTTTCCTTGAATCTCAGGAAGATATTAGTCAGGATACATTTGTGGCTATTGCTAACCTTCAAAAAATTATCCAGTCAAGGAAAGACTAGTTAATAATATTTTATATCTGTTAATAAGCAATGGATGCAAGTCTTTAAATATTTTCAGAAAAACCATGTGCCCTATACAAATACAGCAAGACCCTGCTTAACATGGGGGATGCATTCCTAGATGACAAAGTGATAAACAAAACAGCATTAAATGAGGTCATTTTAACACAAAGTAAATAGGGAAAGGGGAACATGTGACCAAAAATAAACAGATTTTACTTTAATTTTAAGTTATTTTCAAATTAATTTGCGTAATAATATATGTTAAATAACACACAAACATATGCACACAGAAATATAAAGTTCATTTTTTGTGACAAAGGTCCTAACTTTTCTGAAACTCTTGTTTTTGCAATAAAGTCGTGTAGTTTCATTTTTCACTTTTTTCTTCTTTCGTTAAGCAAATGTCAGAAGCAGAAGATCGCATCCAAAACACCTCATTTTGCTTCTGCATTCATTTCAAAATCTGGATCATTCACTACAATTTGATAAATGATTTTGGTTATTGTTTCAAATTTTTCCTAAAGAAATCTGTAGCAAGTTCTTTGGGTTCTTCATTTTCAGAATCACTAGTTTCCAGCTCTACACAAATTCCTTGTTCTTCGTGTTCTTGAAGGTCATCATTGGTAAGGCTCTCACCAGAAACCTGCAGTAACTCCTCAATATCCTGCTCATCTACATCTCCTAGTCCTGCTGTATTGAACAGGTTGACAATTTGGCCAATCTAACAATACAGCGAAAGGCTCTTCTCATTAAGAATTCTTGGATAACTTCAACCATAACTTCTTCCACACTCTGTTCATGAATTTATCAGTTAATTCTTGCTAAGTGAAGTCGATATTTCCTATGTCATCCATGATGTTTTATTTTTTCCAAAATTGCACAAAACATACATACATACATACAAGGAAAGTATGGCACTACGATGAATTGCCATCTTTTGCTGATTAGTTTGTGTTCGTAAATAATTGTATTATATACAAATCAATGAAATGTCACAATTTGAATCAGTATAAATTTTGAGCTTTTTTTTAGGCTTCGAGCAGACCATGTTATATCAAATCAGCATTAATCAAGGCAACATTAAGTGGGGTCTTACTGTATTGAAAGTATAATACAATTAATAATGGAAA